TCCAGATGTTGTGGAAGGACCTGAAGCAGCTGTTAATGTGAGGAAACCACCAACATCCAGAGCTGAAGCTGTTCTGTACGAGGAATGGACTAAAACTCCTCCAAGGTGATCAGGACTCATCAACAGTCAACAGAAACATTTAGTAAAGCAAAAGTTCACATACTTTTACCATCACAAATATGTAATATTGAATCATTTTCCTCAATAAATAAATGACCGTGTATAATATTTTTGTCTCATTTGTTTAACTGGCTTCTCTTTATCTACTTTCAGGACTTGTGTGAGAATCTGATGATGTTTTAGATCATATTTATGCAGAAATATAGAAAATTACAAACTTTCAAGCACCACTGTATGTCCACACTGTTCGCTGTGTCTCTCCATCCTACAGAGTGTTTAAGTGGTGCTGCTGACTCTGCAGAGTACTGCATGCTGCATAAATCACCACCAGCTCACTCCACTCTTCAGCAGTCGGGACATAATAGCGGAGGCCAGCGGGAGCTCATAAACTCAACAAAACATATTGAATTTAATTTACAAATCACAAGGACGAACATTTAAAGTGCTAGTCTCCTTCTGGTCCTGCAGTAACCTGAGAAGGCTTCACACAGCCGCAGACTGATGTGCACTCACACGGCGACCTTGCAGTTCTGTCCCCGTTCTGCAGACGTGCAGCAGGATAAAATCAGTAAAGCACACTGCAGGACCACATGGTGACGTCACCGGTTGCCAGATCCAACAACAAACGCACCGGCGACGAGAGCAGCAGCTAAAAAAAGACGTGTTTGTAGGTCTCTCTTGAAAAAGATATTTTTAACCATGATAAGACTTTCACCTGGATAAATATAGGATATTATTAAAAGAATAGTTTAAAACTCTGACATCCAAGGTGGTGGGGGATTTAAAATCCAAGGAATGCTACAATCTAATGAGAAATGATGGGATGCTTGGAGTGTGTGTTGTAAATGACTCTCAGCAACTACCACACAAACTTTTAGCTCAGTTTTGCAGATACTGACGGACGTACAGGCCTTTTTGTGTGTTCTAAAATCAGCTGGTCATGGCAGTGATCTTAAACTGGTTGGGTTCTACAAGTCAATCACCTGCAGATTTACATCCAATGATTACTTTCTGACACTTTCATGAAAGTCCTTCTAGTAGTTCACAACATATTTTACTAACAGAGTTGACTGCAACAGTAATTGGCGAAATAAATAAAAAAACTAAGAACTTGAGCGAGCTCTTAGCACTCAGAGTATGCGATGGGGGTGACTCTCTGCTACCACCCCATCACATTTTAGCTCAAAGCTGCTAAATTGCCTGCGTTAGAGCCATTTGTGTTACGTAATGTTGATTAGCTCTGGCGGCCATCATAAATATGGTGGACTCCAAAATACAGGTGTTTATGTATGATTCTCTCCTGTAAGTTTCACTAAAATCAGCCCAGTGGATCGAGATATTTTGCTAACAGACACTTTAGGTCTGTGTTTAGGTGTTTGCAGCTGTAGCTGTACCAGTATAGACCGGAAGTAATTAAAATCACACAAAACGTAAATATTTTCACCATTTCGAGCACGTGCACATAAAAATGGCCACCAGTCTCCCACTGGACTTCACAGCATATAAAGGGTGTGTGAACATTAAATAGGTCAGGGTTCATTCACGCGCGCCAAGTGGCAAAATAAACAAAGTGGCGTTTTAGGGGCGTGGCTTCACCTCCATCTGCAGGTCACGTCACGAATCGAACGGGTTGTGCTTGTGTTCTGCAGCAGCACAAGAAGAGGTCGGCTGACCTTATGGTCACCATTAAAACCAGATAAGAAGGAGTCTACTCACTCTGACAGTGAAGATGGGCTGATGCTGGATGATAACAGTCCGCGGAGGAGCAGCTAGAGACGGTGATGTGTTTTGCTGCAGGCCGGCCCGAGCTCCAATCTGTCTGTCACAGCTCCGGATCATCAAGGACACCTCAGACCCGTTTCTGAGCTCTGTCCTGGCCCGGTCCACTCCTCCGCTCCTTCATCCATGCCCCCTCTGCCTCTCCTTTCTCACAGGAAGCGTCTACTGTCAGAGTCGGAGCGTCAAGCCGAACAGAGGCGACACAAAACAGGATTTCCGGGATCTGTCTTCAAAATAAAAGCTTATTGCACAAAAAATGTTTACAAAAACACAACAAACGTGTGCGTTTGTGCTCTGATCTTTATATTACACAGTACAACATGTTACCGTTTATTCAAAACACACCCGAGTTTTTCAATACATTTTGCTTTTGAATGTTTAGATATTTTATTGTGAAGTTAATTTATTTTAGCGCTTCTTTAATTTTCAAGTCTGGCTTTTATTTTTATCTGCGTCCTGGGAAAAATGACATGATGTGACGGATTATCTTATTACTGCCATCCAGACACTCGCATCAGGACCCAGCCCGTCCAGTGACGTCATATGGACCCAGAACAAGAAGGGGTCGAACTAAATGGTTGCATTAAATGATGAATAATTAAGGATTACAAATCTATCTATCTATCTATCTATCTATCTATCTATCTATCTATCTATCTATCTATCTATCTATCTATCTATCTATCTATCTATCTATCTATCTATCTATCTATCTATCTATC